ACAAGCCTCCCCACGAGGCCCCACGAGAAATTCCGATTCGATTGCCAGTAGTAATAATACTGGGTAGGTTGCCTACTGGGAGGGAGGGAGGGGTCTTTCTTCCGGCGCTCCAATGACAGTACCCACCTGGGTCGATACCGGACCTCTATGACGACCTGGGCTTCAAAAAAAAAAAAAAAAAAAAAAAAAAGGAAAGAGGTAGCTGATAGAGAGGGTGCAAGGGTGTTCTTTCGCGAGGCTGTTGTGTCGGGATATCTCATCTTTGGTACGTGTGTTATTTGTGTACTCGCTTCTACGCTGTGCTGTCTCTGTCTCCTCAGGAATGGGTGGGTGTGCTGTCTATGTCTCCTCAGCAATCAATGGGTGGGGAGAGTGTGTGTACTCTCATCATGTCACAGACATGATCCAAGAAAGTGGGATGCATTAGGATGAATCCTCTCTGAAAGCTCCCTTGTACCCTGCACATGTGGCTGCAGTGCTACACACCTGAACTGTCGATAAGCAGACTACAGCTCAAACCCTGCCGCAATTCGCAATTCGCAATTTGCAATTCAATCGAACGAGTTGACCTGGCGTGGTCCGCTCGATGATGATACCTCGAGGCCGTCGCACACGTTGATTAAAAGGGGAAAAAAAGATGCTAGAGTGGTGTGCCGAGGGCGAAGCCGCTGTCGCTTTCGTACTGTTGGCTGCATTGCTCAATGTGACCATTATTGCTTATGAGAATCGTCGGCGAGAATGTCAACATGATCCATTAAACCATCACTACCTTCCTCACTGTTGGGAAAACTGGGAATGTGGCCCATTCTGAAGTTTTCGGAGGTTCCGCGGAAGTCTCGGCAAAAAGATAATGTTTGACGCGCAGTGAAAATCAGGGCCGGTAATAACAGTCTTTTGCCGGTGGTGGTGGTTTAAAGCACCAGTACACCACATCTCGGCCCACGCTTTTCAGCATCAAACCCGCACCTCTTCGGACGCCGCCGATTTTCTTTTTCAATGGCGGGCCTGGCCGCGCTACGCCTCTGAGTCTTGCTCGTGGTGACAAACACTTTCTGCAAGACTGCGGCCGTGTTCTAGCGCTTTAAGTGTGGTCTCCACATTTGAAATACACCTTCCCCCAGCACCATCCCCAGGAGGAGTAAACAGACACTGCTCTGAATATCAACAGCAACAGCAACAGCAACAGCATGAAGGTGGGACCTCCCGGAACAGAGGGCTTTGGAGTCTCAACCTTTTTTTTTTTTTTTTTTTTTTTGTAATAATTTGTGCCATTTCTTGATTTATGCGTGTCATCCTTGCGCAGGGGCCACGCTAATCTTCTCTCTCTGTATCGTTCCAATTTTCACGGATGTCTCGAAGGACGAGTCCCAACTTTGACGCTGCCCTGCAGATGCAACAAACAAGCGGGGCCGTCTTAGGACTGTAGTCTGTAGTTTGCTGCGAAACAAACAAGTGGCACATGTTTTGAGTGCGTCCCAATATATTATCGAGTCTATATACTGATTGGGACGCTGGACTCGGTTTCCAGCAGGTGATGCTCCCCACCAACAGATGGACACTTCATGGATGGGTACACTTGAGGTAGATGATCTTATCAATACATCAAGTGGCACCCTCCGCCGAAGGTTCAAAAGAAAAAGAAAAAGAAAAGAAAAAAAAGGAAAGAAAGAAATGCACTTTGCCCCAGGCGTGTCATGGTCGAGCCCCTTTTCATTTGTGGATGTGGTGGAAGGAGTACTTGCAGCACCTGAATGTATTTGACCGCACATACAGCCAAAAGCATTCGGTCGGAAAAGAATAGAATGTCAATGAAATGCTAGAATCATTGATGGAAAAGTAACAAAGCCCTGAAGTACCAGGGGGCAGATCCCAGTAGCAAGGAGAATTGGATTCAAATGAACGCCTGAATGTGGACGTGTTTGTGGAGAGATGCAGAAAATCAGGAGTAGTCTGCTTTTCTGCATATCTGCGTGAGACACGTCCAGATTCAGGTGCTTAATCTCTCTCTCTCTCTCTCTCTCTCTCTCTCTCTCTCTCTCTCTCTCTCTCTTCCAATCTCTCTCTCTCTCTCTCTCTCTCTCTCTCTCTCTCTCTCTCTCTCTCTCTCTCTCTCTCTCTCTCTCTCTCTCTCTCTCTCTCTCGTCGTTTTTTTCCTGCATTCGGGAGTCTGGTGTTTCTTGGAAGAGCACTTGTGCAACCATGTGCAACCATGGCTTTCTTGGCATTGTAGGCATGCATCCACACATCGCTGGCTCCTGAGCCTTTGAGTTACCACTTGCGAAGACAAAGGCTGTCCTCCGGTCCCCAAATCTGAACAGGACCGTGCAGATATCCCCTTCCCTCCAACGAAGCGTCAAACTGACACTGGTCGAAGGGGGAGTCTTCTATACGCTCCGCAAATTCCTCTGCCATTGCAGAGACGATATACCTGGTGATGTCACCAACGACATCATGGTACTTACCATCCAATCTGTCAGGTATGATGGGGTGGCATTTCGTGGTGAAGAGAAGGATGTGAGCGAGGCGACCACGAGCGTCTACCCCCTTCACCGCCATTATGCTCATGACATGCACGTCGTCAACGCGCACGTCGTAGTACCGGAATGTGTGACCCACCACCTCCTCGCACAACGCTGTGCCGAACTACTTTCTGTAACCGCGCGACTTTCTGCACGAGGCTGCCAAGGGGGGAATATGACAGGTCGAAGGGGTGAGCCGTGAAAGGATGGGTCGGGCAGGCTAGTTGCATGGATGCCCTCATTTTCTTCTTGTTTTTGATGGAAGCTGTTGGATCGGTGTCGGGAAAATCCCGTGCCAGCGGTTGGATAGTCGCGTTGTAGCGAGCGCGAAGAATAACTGTACCATAGCTTTTTCTTTCTTGTTCTGCTATGAGCACTGGGAATTTTGGCGCGATCAACTGGGAATATCGTTTTTTAATTTTTAACTGATGTCGAGCCCCCAAAGGCTCTCGAAATCGTTTTTCTTTTCGAAATTTCCTTTTGCAATTAGGACTTAGACTAGGAATTTAGGTACTCGGAATTGTGTCGCGCAACGTTCGCACGCATCTTGTTGCGCAGGGAACTGGGCTCTGACTTGATCGCGCCTTTAATCTTGTGCAACTTTTGTTTTTGGCGGGCGCGATCGTAACTGTAACCCTTCTTCTTTCTTGGTTTCCCTATGTTGCCCGCCTTCTTCTTCTTCCTCCTCGTCTCGTATACTGTGTTCTAATTGGCCGAAGCGTCTGCATGACCGGATCGATGCGTGGAGTGTGGCTACGACCCCCACACCGCGGCCTGGCCATGCAAACGTAGGCACTTCCTCTCTTCCTTTCTTGTCCACTGGCCTTAATCCCGTACCTTTCGCACAGGCATGCATGCTATAAATTTTGCACGCGCGATTAGTTGGCTTTCTAAGAATTTCGCTATGTTACCGCGCGTTCATTGAACGCGCGTTTCGCGTTCAGTTTTTGAACGCTGTGAACGCGCGTTCACTGAACGCCCCTGAACGCAGTTGACGCGTTTGCGCAGGGGTCTGTTGGGGCTGGGGGGGTGCCTTTGAGGCCACTGGAGCGTCGACGGTGTTTAGGGGAACCTGCTGGGAGGTCGTAGTCCCGAAAAAAAAAAAAAAAAAAAGGCCCGCGTTTTGTCGCGGCGCGATATATAGCCGGGGGAGCGTTCGCACGCGACACAGTCGTGCAGTGCGCGTCAAGCGTTCCCCACGTTCACTTCGAGAAGTGCTGCACACACACTGTGAACGAGTGAACGCACGCACGCACGCGAGAGAGAGAGTGAGTGAGAGAGAGAGAGAGAGAGAGAGAGAGAGAGAGAGAGAGAGAGAGAGAG